GACACTGTCTCAAAGTCAAAAGTAAAAAAGAGTTGGGGATGTAGCTCAGTAGTAGAACACCCCCCCAAAAAAATTAAATTAAAAAAAAAACCAAATAAATAAAATAAAATCACAAATTAAATGGGCAAAAGTCCAAGGCTCTTGAAACCATGAAATCCTATTTTGGAATGCTTATAACAACTCATATTCTCTGTGATAACCTCATTTATCATTGACTATTGTTAAAAATATTTTTCTACCAATTTGAGAGGCAAATATCCCCTTTTAATTCATATTGATTTGATTCCTAGTGATAAAAGTGTTCTTTCACACACTAATTTCAGTTCATTTTTTGGAAGTCCTCTTTAGCCATTCTGTCTATAGGCTTTTCTGGACTTTGTGTATACTATAACATGGCTTCTAACCCTATTCCTCCATTGACAGATAATTTCTGGGGCCATACTACACACATCATGCGATGTCTCCGTTGTGACAACACTGCTCCTTTGACCAACATAGCCTCTTCCGTCACCTTTGTTCTTTTGCACAGACTTCTCTGGGAACCCCTCCAGTATCATTACTGCTCAGGGCTTGTCCCATGGCCTAATGGCCTCTATCTCACACCCATTTCCCTCTTACCCTCTGTCTCCTCACGTGGTATTAACTGCCACCTGGAGGCTGATGATCTTGATCTTCAAATTGAAATAAAATTCTCCCCTGAATTTTACTGGATGAAACAGGCTTCTTAAACTCTGTATCTAAAATCGAAACCTAGAACTGAGCTAATAATAGCTCAGGGGTAAGATGCATGTTCAAGGGCCTGGGTTCAATCTCCAACACCTAAATAAATTAATTAATAAATAAAAACTGAACCCTTCATCTCTCCCAACCTCAACCTCTTCTCCTCTTATACACTTGAGCTCAGTTAATAGAACATCATGCACTGGGTTTCCAGCCCCACCCTGGGAGTAACCCTAGATTCCCTATTTCCCTCATCCCCATATTTACGTAGTTACCAAATCCTGATAATTTCATTTTCAGGGTATTTCATGGCTCTTGTTCAGGTTGTTCTCATCTCTCCTGTACATTCCCTCTCCATCCCCCTACTTCCTTTAAATGTTCATTTGTTCACTAAATATTTACTGAGTTCCTGTGAAGGAGACAGAAAAGAATTCTGCCTTAAGGAGTCTACACTGCAGTAGAGTGATCTAGAGAATACATAAAGTAAGCAAATGCAAAGGACCTGTGGCAGGAAACAAAGGAGACCCTACTGCAGCCAGGGCAAACCACCTAACACTGATTATGTGGTGGGTGGCAGAAGGTGAATTGAAGAAGTGAGCCGGGGTAGATCCTATAGGGAATTCAAACCTTAGTATGAATTTGAGTTATAACCTGGAAGAGCATTGAGGAGAGCCATCAAAGGGCTTAAAGCAGAAGAATGATAATGTTTCTCTGAACAATAGCTGTATGAAGAAAACATATCAATGTTTACCTCTGGATGACTGAGTGGTAGGGTTATATGTGATTTTTATTTTTTCTTCATGCTTTTTAATATTTCCCAAGATTTCTGCAGTAAACATGTATTACTCTTTTTCTTTCTTTCTCTCTCTCTCTCTCTCTTTCTTTCTTTCTTTTTATAGTGCTGAGTATTGAACCAAGGGCCTCACCCATGCTAGCTAGGAGATCTACCACTGAGTTACGTACTCAACCCAATGTATTAACTTTTTTGCTTTTGCAGGACTAAAAATTAAACCTAGAGCCTTGCACATGCCATGCACGTACTCTTACCACTGAACTACATCTCAGCCTTTTTTATTTTATGTGGGGCAGGTTCTCACTTAGTTGCCCATGCTGACTTCGAACTTGTGATCCTTCTGCTTCAGCCTCCCAAGTAACTGGGATTATAGGTATGTGACACCACACCTGACCCAATGCATAACTTTTATGCTTTTAAAAATATAGTTAAAAAGAAAATCTGGTTGAAATTAATATGAAGGGCCACAGAAAGGAGTACAATTGATGGTGAGGCACTAAGATCACTAATTATGAGGAGATGTGGCAGTGGCCTGTAATGGTTTGGTGGTTGTGGGAATAGAGAAAGAGGTAGAGCTGCCAGATATCTAATGTGTAAAACTTATAGGATTTGGTGACTTATTAGCTAAAGGATGCAAGAGTGTAGGATGACCACTGGGTTTTGTAGGAAATCAAAGTATTTCTCCCCAAAATACTGAGGATTTTTGAGCTGAAGGAAGTTCAAAAACATCAAGTATCTGACTCTTTCTCTGCTTGATGTTAGGACAGATTCAGAGAAGAGTCTTTCTGCTTTCTTCCTACTTTCCCACCAAAGCCAGACATGTAAACCCTACTTCACTAGAGACTGATGCAGATCAGCCTAGAGATGGGATCAACAGACTATAGAATGCTGGGTGCAGATCTTCCCTCCTTCCCAGAATTCTCCTGCTTCGGAAATCTCTTGCTTCTTTGTTTTCTCATGGTGAAATTTATTGCTTTTCATTAAAATACTATTCATTTATTTACGGGAATGGGGACTGAACCCATGAGCACTTAACCACTAAGTCACATCCCCAGTCCTTTTTATTTTTTGAGACAGTATCTCATTAAGTTGCTTAGGGCCTTGCCAATTTACTGAGACTGGCTTTGAACTTGCAATCCTCTTGCTTTAGCCTCCCGAGATGCTGGGATTATAGTTATGCACCAACATGCCTGGCTGAACCTGTCCTGGCTAAAAATTTAGACCGCTTAATAAAATTTTATTTTTCTCCTTTTCAGATTCATCTTGAATGATTAACTAGGTTGATGGAGACTCCATTTAACCCAATAGGGCACAGAGGCATCTCATAAGAGATGAGCTTGGCATCACAGAAAAGAGAGTGGCCAACAGCACCAAAGTCTCAGCCATAAGATCCACCCAGATATAATGCTGAGGAAGAGAAGTGGCAATTCTTTCAAGAAGCTCTTCTAAAAAGACAAACATCAGGGCAACAACCAGAGGAAATATAGGATTGAAGAAGTATTTTTTGGTTAAAGGAAATAAATCAGTAGAAGCCAAGTAGTTCAAAATACACTTACTTAAAGGGGTGGGTGAGAGCAAGAGCCCAAAGGTGGGATAAATTGGGATCATAAGCACAAATGAACAAAACAAGAAAAAGGACATCTCCTTTTTTCTGGGATGGAAGTAAGGATTGGGAAAGTAGAATAGATTCCTTCTGAGGCTCATAGCAGAAAGGGGAAAAAGTTTTTGCTTTGGGATTTTCTTCCCTCTATGAATTAGAAGGCCCGGTAATCTTCTGGGGATATGGGAAAGCAGTTGGAGACAAGCAGTCAAGATTTATAATAATCTAAGAATAGGAGAAGGGACCAGGTGTGGTGACACACACCTGTAATTCTAGACATTGGGGAGGTTGAGGCAGGATGATCTCAAGTTTGAGGCTAGCCTGGTAACTTAGAGAGACCCAGTCTCATAGTAAGGTGGGGGGGAGGGATAAGAGAGCCTGTATGAATGTCAAACAAAACCAGTTCAATGGTCCAGAGGTCCTGGGGTCCTACTATTGTTAAATCCTCTAGATTTCTAACAGCTCAATCTGTGTGTGTGTGTGCCTGCGTGTGTGTGTGTGTGTGTGTGTGTGTGTGTATCTCCCCCCACTCCTTTTGCAGTGCTAGGTTAGGTTATAAACCTAGGGCCTCATGTGTGCTATTCAAGCACTCTGCCATGCAGCTACACCACCAGCCTGCAATTTTTTTTTAAGCACTTTATAAATTTGTGTGTCATCCTTGATCAGAGATGCTAATCCACTCTGAATTTTTCCAAGTTTTAGAGAATGTGTTGCTCAGGGAGCACTGGGAAAAAATGGAAGGTAGCTGGTTTTTTTTTTTTTTTTTTTTTGGTGGTATGGTACTGGGGATTGAACCCATGACCTTGTGCATGCAACACAAAAGCACTCTACCAATTGAGCTATAGGCCCAGCCCTTGCAAGGTAATGTTTAAAAACACTCAGAAGAATTCAGGATGAAAACTGTAAAGCAAATTCAAGGCCTCAATGTCTTAAGACCTTATGGTGACTGAAATTGGTAGAGAACACAGAGCTGATTAGGTAACCAGATGGCATAGGCCTTTCTGAACCTTTCCAGGCCTCAGGGAGGTGGCAGAAATTGTGGTTAACGTCAGGGCATCTAGATGGAGTTCACTGAGGTCAAATCCTGGGCAAGCCAATTTAACTTCTCAGTACTTTATTTGAGGAATCAGTAAAATGAAGATACTAGTATAGCATTTATCTCAAGGCCTGCTATATGTACCAGAGCATTACTTAAATGTCAGAATCATTATCATTTCTCATTTGAACAAGAGGAATTTTAAGAGTCTCTGAGGCAGAGATTCTCAAACATTTTGGGCTCAGAATCCCTTTCCAGTTTTAAAAATGACCTCCTTTTATATATAAGTTGTTAATAGACCTTTATTTATATGTGGTGCTGAGAATCAAACCCAGTGCCGCACACATGCCAGGCAAGTGTGCTATCACTGAGCCACAGCCCCAGCCCTAAAAATGACCTCTTAAAAAAAAATTTTTTTGAAGTACTGGAAGATTCAACCCAGGGCATGTTAGGTAATTGCTCTACCACTAAGCTGTACCCCTAGCCATTTTAAATTTTTTGAGACAGGGTCTCAGGGCATGCTGGCTTGAAGTTGTGATCTTCCTGCCTCAGCCTCCCAAGTAGTTGAGATTACAGGCATGCATCACTAAGTCCAATTTACTAATATATTTTTAAAGAAAAATAACTACATTTTTTAAAAAAAATAGAAGTGTTATTGTTTTTCCATTTTGCATATCTCTCTTGACTTTAATTAAACACAGGTGGGTCTTATCTGCTTCTGCATTCAATTGAGACATGTTCTTTGCTTGAAGTATGAAAATCCTAACACCTCACTAACCCTCTGAAACCACACTTGAGAACTCTTACTTTAAGGTTTCTCCCAGTTCTAAATCATTCAGTCATTTACTCACTTGTCAACACTTCTGGATCCTAGAGACTGGTGAATTCTGTGGTTGCTGAAGGATCCTAATTGGAAAGAGAAAAACAAAAATGAACAAGCACAAATGAGGAAGTGTCAGGGTTACCTGTGAGCCTAAGAAGGCAGAGAAGGATTACTGAAGTAAAGGAAATTTGATCTTGAATTAGGGCGTGAATTTCCTGTGTTGCCTATAAGCAGAAGAGCAGTTGCAACAACCCAGAGACAGGAATCAATGTACAGGCAAAGGGTGCACTAGCACAAGAAGTCAGCAGCTAGAAAAGCATGTTGGGCCGTATATAGGAAGTTATATTGCATCCTATACCAGGAGCCTGGGGTGACAAGAGCTTGCTTTCTTTTTTTTTTTTTTTGCATTAGTGGGGATTGAGTTTAGGGTTTAGGGCCTCATGCATGCTAGGCAAGAGCTTTCCCACTGAGTCACATCTGTGGCCCTTGTTTTTCTTTTTTAAAATCAGTTTGAGGCATAATTTACATAGAAGTAAAAAGTCATCTTTTTGGGTGTACAAGTTTTGACAAACATTATCCAGTTATGTAAACAATACCACCACAAGATATAAAATACTTTCTCATCATCACAAAAAAAGTTCTTTCTACCCTACAGTCCTGCAGGCAATCATTGATCTGACTTCTATCCTTATAGCTTTTTACTTTGAAATAATTATACACTCACAGAAAGTTAGAGAATTCCCCCAATAGTAACATCTTACAAACTATAGAAAAACAAAAAACTGACAGTGATGCACTACTATCAGCTATACTACAGTGTTTACATGCATTTGCTCGTTTTAAAGAATACAACTGGGGAGGAGGGCAGGCAAGTGACAGGAGGTAGAGAATGAGACATGAGAATCTCAAGTTCAAAGCCAGAGTCAGAAATTTAGCAAGACCTTAAGCAACTTAGGGAGACCTGTTGCAAATTAAAAAGTAAAAGGGCTGGAGCTATGGCTTAGTATTAAAGCATCCCTGGGTTCAATCCTTGGTACCAACAAAACAAACAGTTTGGCCAGGCAAGGACACATATTAGTCACAACTGTCAACAGAGGAAGAATTCAAGAAAGAGCAGGGAGAGATAAGGAATAATGGAAAACACTTCTAGAGTGGAATGAAAATCAGTGGGTGGACGATTTGGTATAAGGGCTTAAATTAATTCTTTAAAAATTTTTTAAAATTTATATAAGACAGCAGAATGCTTTACAATTCTTATTACATACATAGAGAACAATTTTTCATATCTCTGGTTGTATACATAATATATTCACACCAATTCTTGTCTTCATACATGAACTTTGGATAGTAATGATCATCACATTCCAACATGGTTAATTAAAAATTTTTTTTTTAGAAACAAAAATTTCCATATGGCAGGACAAGTAGAAGATTGCTTTAAATTGAAGAATCTGACCTTTCAATTAATAAAGGGCATAGAACCCCACATAATCATATTTTTGCTTGCTTTATTCAAACAGGAAAAAAGACTTTTTGGTCACATTCTTCCTTTTCTTACTTTTGCCTAAATGAAACAATAGTGTTTTTTTTTTTTTTTTTTAAATAATGTACAATCATATAGTTCTGCATTACCTCTAAGTTAGGTTTAATTTTTGGAAACTATCATTTGGTGCCAAATAGTGGTAAATAAAAAGAAAACAATGAAATAACTGTCAAAGATGTGATAGTCCCCGGTAGTTTAGACAAAGTTGTATTTGTTTGCTCCTCTAAACAGGATTAGCTAAACCTTCAACATGGCTAAAGAAAACCTCTATACTTATTTATTTTGTGGTACTGGGGACTGAACTCATGGATACTCTATCATTAAGCCACATTCCCAGCTCCCCCTCCTTTTTATTTTGGTCCCGGAAATTGAACTCAGGGGCACAAGATCACTGAGCCACATCCCCAACCCTATTTTGTATTTTATGTTGAGACAAGGTCTCACTGAGATGCTCTTAGTGCCTAGCTTTTGCTGAGGCTGGTTTTGAACTCCTGATCCTCCTGCCTCAGACTCCCAAGCCCCTGGGATTACAGGCCTGTGCCACTGTGTTTCGCCCTTTTTATTTTTTCCAGGCAGGGTCTTGCTAAATTGCCTAGGCTGGCCTCAAACTTGTCAACCTCCTGTTTCAGCCTCACTGGGATCCCAGGTGTGCGCCACCAAGTCTGATTCTATACTTACTTTTATTCCTTTTTTAAGTTAAGTTTTTTTGTAGGCTTTCCTACCTACAAAAATAGCATTGTATCTGGAAAACTGATAATGGCTAAACCTTTACATAATTTATGTAAAGACATATTTATTCATCAAGACAGCTATCCTCACTTTAACAGCCCAAGACATTGAGGCTCCTAAGAGAAAGGTACCCAGGATCACATATGCAAATACTGTAAAATGCTTAAAAAGGTACTAGCACAGGGTAAGCATTCAGTAAATGTTAGCTAGGCTTCTTTAAATAAAGCCTTGCTCTTTCTACCCCACCAAATCCCATTTATGGCCAAGTTGGATCACTTTCTCCAAAAGCTGTGCTACAATGAGTTTGAGCAAAGCTCCATACATGCAGTGGAAATACTTCTGGTGATAAAGTTCTTATTTAAAACCTAGTTTGTTTATCACTAGTCACTACCAAATACAGTTCCCTGAGTAGATAGGAGTAACCTGATGTCTATTTCCTTGACTTTAAGATGAACTTTATAGTATCTTCGAAATAAGAAAGTTTCTTAAAATCAGGTTCAATAAAATACTGTTTTTACTGTCTCTCGTGCTGGATGTTTTATATAAATCTTAGCATAAAATATTCTGAACGTCTACCTCTTATTATACCGATTTTTAAAAGCAGGTAAGTCAAGACAAATGTTAAGTCATTTGATCCAGGTTACACAGCTGGTGAATGATGGACAAGATCAACTCCAAAGCAAGCAGTATCCTTAGACCTAATTTCAGTTGACTTAGCCCATTCTATTTTGTGTCCATCATAACCTCCCAATCAAATTAAAAAAAGCTAACTTTCAAACGGAGAAACAAGAAATAATCACCAAAACAAACACAAACGGAACCTCTGCAAGATTAAGTAATTTAGACCAGAATCGCACAGCCGATGGGCCTCAACTTCAAGGCGAAATCTACTTTCACGAAGCTCTGCTACCACTGACAAATGATAATGCGCAGTTATCAATATTTGTTGAATTAATAATGTCTGCAAACAAAATTGACAATAAGGAAGAGGGTAAAAGTAGAAAAGGCACATAAAAACCGCAAAGTTGTTCATGGGCAAAAAAAAAAAAAAAAAAAGACAAAAATCCCCAAGTTTTCGAGGCAATACGTTCATGGTGAGCCGAGGCGCTGGTACAAGCACACCTGGACAGTCCCAAGTGGAGTCTCCACTGAAAGGCCAAGCGCGGCCGCTTCCCTTCTTTGCCCCCTCGCTCACGCCCTCCGACCACTAACCACCGGGCCTCCCAACACCCAACAACTTCAGGCCAGCAGCCCTCCCTACTGGGCTGCTGGCTTAAAAAGAAACTCAAGCACCTGCCCCCAGGCGGTCAGCGGTCGGCGGCAGCCAAGCGCCAGGGGACGCAATCTCCTTAGGGGTCGCAACTGGACCCTCGAGATACCGCGGACCACCTACAGCAAGGACTCAGGCAGGCCTCAGGCGTGGGTTGGGGACGTGCGGAGGCCCCACGGGCCGCGCTGGCGAGCGGCGGGAGTCCGCCGCTAGGCATTTCCTCTTCCTCTACGCGCGGCGCGGCGCGGCACGGCGGAGGCTAGGCCAAGGCCGAGTTCGGACGCCCGACCGTGGCCTGCAGGCGAGCACGGGGCAGCGCCGCGCCCCGAGCCGTCGCCGCCGTGCCGCCTCCAGCCGCCCGCGGGCGGCTGGGCCGGCGCGGGCAGCGAGAGGCGGGGCCGGCGTGCGGGTGGCGGAAGGAGGCGGAGGAGGAGGAAGAGGAGGAGGAGGAGGCGGCGGCCGGGAGCCGGGGGAGAGGGGCGGGGGGCGGGCCGGGGGAGGGGAGGAGCGGGATTTGCGGAGCGCGGCGCTGCTGCCGGGAGCCCGCGGGCCGGAGAGTGACCGAGTCACGGCGGGCGCCGGCGGAGCCGCGGCGTCGGACCCGCCTCCTGGAGGAGCTCAGCCCCGGCCAGGCCCGGCCCCAATCCCGCCCCGCGCCGCCTCCCCGCCGCCGCCGCCGCGGGAGCGCTCCCCTGCCCACCCCGCCCCCGCGGCCGAGCCCGGGAGTCGAGTGGGAGTCGGCCGGCCGGCGCGGGCAGCGCCGGGACCCCGCAGGGGACACTGCAGCCGGAGCCCGGGAGGGGCCGCGCCGCCACCGTCTGAACTAGGATGTCCCGACATGAAGGTGAGAAGAGCTCCCGCCCCCACCCCCACCGCCCGGGCCTCGGCCTACCCCGCCCGGGCCGGGCTCCGCGGAGGACGGCCGGAGAGCGGCGGAGACTTTGGCGGACCCAGAACCAGGCTCGAGGGGCAGAGCCCGGCTGCGAGCGAGCGAGGGCGGAGAGCCGCGGCGCCGCTGCCGCCACGGTTGCGGCCGCGGCCCTGAGCTGGGCCTGGTGCCGGAGGCGGGGCGGCTGGGGCGGCCGGAGGGTTTGCACTGTCATGGGGCGGGGGAGGGGGAGGGAAGGCAGCGGGGCCCGTTACCGGCGGGAGCCCAGCCCTCGGAACTGGTACTGGACGCCGAGGCCCGGCGGGTCCCGGAGCCGCGGGCTCCATCGCGGCCTAGCTCCCGCCTCCCCGGAAGGGCCCGGTGCGGTCGCAGAGCTGGGCCACGGGCGGCGGCAGGGGCCAGGGGAGCTGGCCTGAGACCGGCGGGGGCGTCCGGTCGCCGAGAGACGACCGTGAGTGCCCCCGTCTGCGGGCGGCCGCGGGGTGGGCGGGAAGGCTCTGTGACCCGGCACGGAAGCCTTCGCCTCCTGGAGCCCGCCCGGCCTCGCGGCTAGGCCTCGGCGCGTCCCTGGGCTTGGGTAACCAAGTTCCCTGGGCGGATCTGGCCCGGCCGCGGCGAGCAAACTCCCTGCTTGGTCACCCTGCCGAAGCTGGACTCCCAGGGCCCTCACCGGTGTGCGCTGCCTGACTAGTCAGGCTTAGGTGGATGACCATCGTGTGGTCTGTTAATGGTCAGAGGCGTTTGGACTTTGTTTTACGATTTGAAAACACGCGTGGGGTACAGTTTCGAATAAGCAAGACTATTCCAGCTCTGTCCCAAGGTACAAAGAGACAAATGTTTAGGGCCGATGTATTTGGCATGGAACTGGTGAAAAATAAGTTAACTTCAGTTTACTGCCATATGGTTTAGTAAAGGGGGAGGGAGGCAGAGTTTTCTTTGTTTCACTACTATAGGTTTTTAAATAAAAAGTATTAACAGACTTGGCGAAAAGTTTGTCGAGCCAAGGTTAACGCAAGATTGTAGGAGTGACTTGAAAGTATTGTATACTTTAAGATTTTAAAATCCTGAATAGGTGATGTAGGAGTGGAGAAAGTTTAGTGAGTCAGATTAGTGTGTGCTTCCCATCGAAAGGAGTGCATTCTTAGGGAAATACAGATTTCAGAACTCAAGGTTGAAAAACTCAGATTGATTAACATTACAGTATTTAGATCAAGTTTCAGAATTTGCATTACTAATTGCAGCATTAAGCTTGATTCAAAGGACATTTTGTGTTCAAGGATTCTGTATTTTCAGAGTTTTTACAAAACTGTTTTCTTCATGGAGCATTTATTGAGTACTGTATTCAAGTTTTGGACATTTTGAAATAATAGGATATTAGTTTAGTCTCATTTAAAGGGACTTTGAAATATTTGGAAGTTAGACCTATTTTCCAAATTTATCTTCTTAATGGAATTATATTCCATATCTCTGTAATTAAAAAAGTTGTAATTCAGGTTATAGTCAAGTTGGAGTTTGGGATGTTAAAGTTTATCTTAGAATGTAGTTGTATGTGTGTTAAAATGAAAGTGAGCAGTGGCTGCCAGCTCTCACTTACAGGAACTGGGAAAATTAATATTGCAGAATTATGGCTGTGGAAGAAGTGTGTTTGAGACTCATGCTCCTTGTCTTAAGGAATCATCCAGATAGTTCTAGAGTATTCTAACTGAACAGTGGCCTTGGAAGAAAATTCCCTTACTCTCAGTATTCTAGAGTAATTAAAATCCCCTAGTTGGAACATTCTTCAGTATAACATACATTCTGTAATTTAAGCCTATTTTCCCCTATTTGGTTCTGTGGAAAGGTGTGGCTATAAAACTTAGGTTATTATTACTGAACCTTAGCACAATAATAGCATACCTTTCCTGGTAACATATCAATGCCAGGTGTCTGAAAAAGAAACATTCCTAAATACATCTGTTGAATACTTAGAGTACAATATTTAACAACTGATTATCTTGGAAGGTTTATGGCCTGAGGCAGGAGTGGTGGTCTCATAAATCACATTTAATTAAAAAAATATATATATGTGTGTGTGTGTGTGTGTGTGTGTGTGTGTGTGTGTGTGTGTATGTTTTGTATTATATTAGTTCAGGCTGTCGTTATTTTTATCAGTAGGAATTTGATCTATCAGCAATACAACTCTGCAAGTGTTGACACCAGTGCCTTCTCCTTTCTCTTTGGGTCAATTAATTCCATTTCTCTTAGCATTTCTTTAGTTGTCTGATTTTTGAGCCCTTTTAATCATCTGTCCACCTCTAAGTTCTCCATCCCAAGTGTGACCCAGAACTGAATGTGGTAGTCTGGTAAAAGGTCTGTGCTGCCTGTAATGGACTTGAATACTCCTTATTTTCAGGGCCTCTTAGTACAAGTAACTTGTTACTTTGTCTTTCTGCCCACTCTATTGAATTGTACTGTATTGTATGATTATATTAATGTTGTAACTTTGAACAACACAGCCCCAAGATGGACACCTGTCAAGCTTAGAGGCTCAACCTTGTGAAGCAGTGGACTGCCTTTGAGAAAAGAGATGCAACTAGGAGCAGAAATACTCCAGCCCAGGAGTCAGCATACTTTTTCTGTTAAGGGGCAGATAGTAAACATTGTAGGATCAGTGAGCTGTGAGGTATCAGTTTTATAATTGTCATTTGAAAGCAGCCATCCACATTGAGTTATGAAATAAGCATGGCTGCATTCCAGTTAAAACCTTACATATGGACACTGGCATTTGAATTTCATATTTTCATATGTCATGTAATATGATTCTTCCTTTAACCCTCCCCCAATTTAAAAATGTAAAAATAATTATAGTGGGGAATAAAAAAACTGCTGGTGGCCAGGCTGGTCCCTGTGCCTGAATTTGCATCCCTCTGCTCTAGAGCTTCAGAGAGTTGATGGAACTCGAACAGTTGGTATTCCAGAAAGGGCCCACTCTACTTACTTGGTAGTTTCTTCATTTCCTTTGGGTAATGCAGTGAGTTCATTGACTGAGCCAATTCTGTATTCCAGTTTCCAGCAATATCATGCAGACTAGGCTAGAAGTAATTTTTCCATAGGGGTGAGAACAGACTCTACTTTCTCAGATCCTGTCTGAATTTTACATCAAGTTTCCTGCTTGCCTATTACAACTTTTTCAAGGGAGAATTTCAAGGCCTGTTTTAAATTCATTTTTTAAATATTCTTGCCATGTTAGCAAACATTTTACAGACATCAGCACCCAATCACTTCATGTTCAGTATACCAACAAAATCTAGTTTTGTGTTTTACATAGTGAAACCAGTCATTTTCTGTATTTTTTTTTTTTTTTAAATGTCTCTGGCTGAGGATGTTTCTTAGTAGTAGACTGTGTGCTTAGCATGCACAAGGTCCTGGGTTCAATCCCTAGGATCAAGGAATAGAGCCAGGTTTCATGCCATAGGGCCTATAGTCTGAGCTTCTCAGGAGGTTGAGGAAGGAGACTCAATCAATCTGGAGTTAGCAGTCAGTCTGGGCAATATAGCAATACACTGTCTCAAAAATAAACAAGCAAAGTCTTACTACCATACTTAAAAATACATTTAAAACATAGGTATGTTGTTCAGAATTTAAAATTCACTTAACATAAGCTTTTTAAAAACGAATACGCACGTATCAGATTACTCAGTGTTTATTAGCTAAAAAGAAGTTATGAATGCCTTTTCATGAGTTGGGGCATAATTGATTACCTGGAGTTAATGCATATATGGCTTTATATCATTTAGCCTTTTTTCAATTGCTACTATGTATAAGGTACCAAGGAATGTGGGACAGAAAGAATGAGACACAGCTCCTCACTTTGAGTCAGATGGGAGGATGCATCTGTAGACAGCTTCTGTAGCACAGTGTGAGACATGCCATAGGGAAGGGATAAACAAATTGATGGCAAAATAATTACCAGCTATCTTCTTACTAATTTTGCCCAGTTTTAGAGAGGGAATCTACTTTGAATCTAACACTTTTCCCTTGAATGCCTTCTTAAGTTTTTCTGTGCTACTCTTGATTATGGGTAAAATTGTTCAAATAGAGTCCTTATGTTTACCTGATTTATAATTTCCCTTAGCTTTTGAAGATTTTCACATAATGATAGCAGATAAATGGATGGATAATATATTGTTTTTTTCAGAAGTATCTAATAATATTTATTTTCTAAGTAGAAAGTACAAGTTCTGTAGGCCTCTGATCTAGTTAGTCCCAACTTAATTGCTGTTTTATGGATCAAAACCAGGGCCTCACATATTCTAGATACTTATTCTGCCATTGAGCAACAACATCCCTAATCCTCAGCTTTTTCTTTTTGTTTTTTTAAATAAGAATTCTATATTAAACAGTATTGTCATGTGCAACATGATGTTTTGAAGTATGTATATATTCTAGAATGATAGTCCTAACTTTTTTTTTTTAAGAGAGAGAGA